TGCAATGGCGCGATCTCGGCTCACCGCAACCTCTGCCTCCTGGGTTCAAGCAATTCTCCTGCGTCAGCATCCCGAGTAGCTGGGACTACAGGCGTGCGCCACCATGCCCAGCTAATTTTTGTATTTCTAGTACAGACGGGGTTTCACCATGTTGACCAGGATGGTCTCGATCTCTTGACGTCATGATACACCCGTCTCGGCCTCCCAAAGTGCTGGGATTACAGGCGTGAGCCACCGCGTCCGGCCTTGTTTGTTTGTTTTTTAAGATGGAGTCTCACTCTGTCGCCCAGGCTGGAGTGCAGGGGCATGACCTCTGCGCATGTCAACCTTTACGTCCCAGGATCAAGCAATTCTCCTGCCTCAGCCTCCCGAGTAGCTGGGACTACAGGTGTGCACCACCATGCCTGGCTAATTTTTTATTTTTAGTAGAGATGGGGGCTCTCACCATGTTGGCCAGGCTTGTCTCAAACTCCTGACCTCAGGTGATCGGCCTGCCTTGGCATGAGCTACCACGCCCAGCTAGAACTTTAATTAACAAAATTATCTTATGTGCAAAGAAATATTCATGCAAGAAAACATAGAGAAACCAAAAAGATAATGTGTGAAAATACCTAAAATCACACTTGCTTAGAAATAGTTATTAAATGTTTTCGGGTTGTGCATGTCTATAAATGTGTCTGTGTGCATCAATCTTCTCTATCTATCTACCTATCTCTGTCTATCTATCTATCTGTCTCCTTTAGATGACATAAATTTATAAAAATTGGATGGTACTATATATACTTTTTGAGTTTAAAAAAGTTTATTTAGAAGTAATTTAAATGTTATGAAAGATTGTAAAAACAGTTCAAAGTGCACGCGCATGCACACACACACACACACACACACACACACCCTTTATCTAGATTTTTATTTATTTTGTCTCACCATTTGTTCTCTCACTCTGTCTTTCACACACAGACGCCTCTTTTATTGTGTCTAGACTTCCAACCGGTTTTGTTAAAGCCAGGTTATAGAGAAAGTCGCTCATGTTTTATTCTAGGACTTGTATAGTTTCATTGTTTTCATTTAGATCTCTACTTCATTTGTAGTTTATTCCTTTGTATGTTGTATGGAATTCATCTTATTTTTCTAATTGTCCTAACACAATTAATATGTATCAATCTTTGCCCAGTGATTTGCAATACTATCTTGATTATATATTGAATTTCTACATGTATTTGGGTCTATTCTGGACTTTCTATTCTATTTCATTGATCTGTCTATTCACTTGCCAGTACCTCACTGTTTTGATATAGATCCTTTGTAATATGTTTTAATTTCTGGTAGTCCCCATTCAGAGATAGTCTCCACTCAGCTTTGTATTTTCATCATTTTCCTAGTGATTCTTGCATGTTCATATTTCCTTATAAACTTTATTAGCAGCTTGTTCAACTTCATTAAAATACTTGTTAGTATTTTTATTAAGACTGTATTAAAATTGTAAATTAAATTAGGTAGAACTATCATCTAACATATGAACCAAGAATATGGAATTTGTTCAGGTCAGCTGTCTCTTGGGAGTGCTTATAGTTTTCTTTGTATAGGCTTTGAACATTTTCCTTTCATTATGTCTTTTAATTGGTTATTATTTGTAGATACAAGGCTATTTGTTTTTGCATGTTAATTTTATTTCCTGATACCTTGATGAACAATTGTATTGTTTTAGTTTGTACTTCCCTTTTGATTGTACACTGTATAAAAGGTTTAAAATTTCTAGTTAGGAAGAACTTTTTATTTTCTAGTTTTGTTTTTAATTTCACTTGGGACTGGTATCACAGTGTTTTTCATACTTCTGCTTTATAGAAGCTACTGCTGTTTTCTTGGTGCTCTAAGTATCCTTTTTTAATGAAAGTTCTATTTGCCTTGGAAAGAAAATATCTAACATCAAGATGGTAATATTTGATATATATCCAAAATATTTACCTCATTGATTGTATAGCAATTAAAATGAGCTACAGTGACACCCACATTAAGTGAAACTTACGTAATTATTAAGAAAAATGCAGACACACTGAGTGTTAGTTGATGAACCTCTCTTCTTCCTTAGAATCTGTCGGGGGCCTGGTGGCAACCAGGATTGCTGGGCCTTTTTGGCTTTCTTGGGCACCAGACTACAAGTCATTGTGGTTCTGGGAAGTGTGCCTGGGTGTAGCCAGAAATTATTTTAACTGTATTCAGAAAAAAACTCTCAAATTGGACAATGGATTGATATAACCTTGTAGGTAGGTCCTTTTGAACCAATACACACCCAGTGGTTGTAACTGATACGACGGCAAGTATTGTGGGAAATAGATACTGTAAGTTCGCAGTGGAGTGCATAATTTAGATAGGCAGTATGGTTTCCAAATACGCAGTTCCACAGAAGGGCATTCTATCTGGATAGAATGTTTTATGATTTAATGATAAGGGGTGAGGAAGGATAAGATGCAAAGTGTAAGAGACATGAAACTTGTAATTAGCCCTTTTCAGTCTTCTTTTTCTTCCCTCTATACCTTCCTCTGAATAACTGGGCTACCGAATTTGCAAGTGGCAAAAAGGAGTGGGGATAGAGGCTAGAAGACTCTATCTGGTGCTTCTTTTACTGCCCAACTTTGCATTGTGGATCTGGTAGATTATGGATAGTTGTGATGATCATAGATACAAGGTGACAACTGCCATGGTATCCCTGGCATAGCTCACATGTCAGGGAGCGAGAGAGATGTTCTAGAATGTTACAGTGTGTAAGGAGGAAACACCGAGCCACCTAGAAATGAACATGTCCAGTTGGTGTGGATTAGACATGGTGAGGATTGGAAAAAGGGTGAAGAGTTTGCTTCAGGGAATTGTTGCACCACTCATGTTGTGGAAAGGGAGCAGCAACCCCAGACTGTAGGAAAGAAACACCTCAGGCCCTGGGAGATCAGGAGTGAGGGAAGTAGCATTACCCCCCCCCCTTACATTAAATATCTTTGGAAGGATGCATAGGAAGGGAGTGAAGAGGGAACAATGTCTTTATTCTTTTGTACCTGCTGAATTTTGAACCAAGTGACTATTTTATATAATTAAAATTAAACATTGACCTAAACCTCAAACTAAAATTTAGAAATTAAACAGTCTTAGTCATAATGCTAGGGCACTACGTAAGGACCTAGAATATAAAGTACTCAATAAAAACAAGTTAATTTTCTTTTAAAGTGACATATACGTAAGTCATACAATTTTTGGGTATGAAATTGTTTTAAAGATGTATATATACAAGAATAGTGCAAGCTGTTAAGTTAACTTTTATTGAATACAACTGATGAAGTTAACAGACAAATATATTTTAATAATATAACAAAAAGTTGTAATTGTTAAGGTATTATCTGCATTTTAAAGGGTTTTTAAGTCAAAGACTTCGCATTTGAATTTTAACTATTTTTGAAATGTAAAATGCACAATCAGTAATAGTACATATCTTACAATTTTAAAGTTTTAGTGAAAACATTTGAGTCTCTGCAGGTAAAAGCAATAGTTCTGCTATATGTAAGAAAAAAAATGTATTACTAAAAAAGTGCCACTGGGTTTAGACAATGCCATTCCAACTGTTTTCTTTTTGGGGAGGAGGATAAAAGTACATAATAGTATAGAACTAGTCATTTTCATTAAACTAGTATAGAACTAGTAATTTGCATTATGCTTCGTAATAAGCACAAGAGTGCTTATTTATAGTAGATATTAACCACAATAAATAACTCCTCAGAAAAGATCAAAACTGTGAATTGTGACCAGCTGTTCAGTCATTGCTTAAAATAGTCCAGAGTTCTTTAAAAAGTGCAATCTTGAACTAAGATAAACTTAAGTCTGCCAATACCAAGAAATAGTTTTAGGGACTTCATATAAATAGAATAACCTGTCTCTTTTATTTGTAAAATAGGTTTCTACCTGTTCTAAGGAAGGGAATGGTGGTAGATGGCAAAGTTTGCCAACAAGTATGTTTCTAGCAGGTGAAAGCCTGGTATGCATTACTATAAGATTCATCTTTTACAGAAAGAAAACATACTTATTAGATGTATACAGCATTTTTCAGGCACTTGACCTCACTTGGTAGCTAAGTTGGTGTTCAGATGTTTGTTTAATGGAAAAACATTAAATTACATATTGGCTTCAAGCCATGTTTCCAGAGAACATCTGTGTTTCATAAGCTAAATCCATATGTTCCCTGCTAAAAGCAAGTACTGATGCCATATACCTAATTCAGAGAAAAAAAAAAAATTAATAGATTGCATTGTGTTAATTTTTAAGGTTTTCTACCATACATTTTTCTTAAATCTTTGTTGCCTTGTCTGAACGCTAGCAGAAAAAAGCCTTGAAAACTATGAAGTATTACGGCAAAATGACATTAAAATGAGAACTGCTGATCAGTATGATATACTGTTCATGGAAATATGCTTATATTTTCACTCTTACACTGCTTAAGAGCCATATTTTCCCATAGTAAATGTGTTCCTAGTTCGTATTATAGAATTCAATATGTAAACATTTCAATGTACCCAAAAGAGCATTATTAATTTATCTATTATCCCTAAATATGTTTGGTGAACTTCTACATTAATGGCTGGCTCCAAAACTCTCTTTGGGGTCCATGCCTAAGGAATGCTTTCAGATATATCCAAAGTATAGGATTCTAAGATGGGACTGCCAAATTCTATTCTAAAATGAAAAATATATGGCAAGATTCCGGTCTGGATGCTACCGTTTCCTTTTTTTTTTTTTTTTTTTTNTTTGACTAGCACGTAGTTTAAGTGTGCTGACATTAAGGATTTTTTTTTTATATGCATGTATCATGGTATTACAATTTGGGAAAATTTTGCAATGTATTTTCAGGCAATTAGCTTTAAAATAATGTAATTTCAACTCTTAGCACAAACAGTCCTGAGAACAATGCATTCAAATTACAGCTCAACTAGAAATAATTGAATTGAGAAACTTTAAAGTACAAAAACAAGTTCTGCAAAAGTTGTAAATTAAAAAAAAAGTTACCAACAGTTGAGGCACTACCAGACTACAGTACTTTTAAAAGCTGGGACTGTGGAAAAAAGAACTAACATACAAAGCTATGTGTGCACATGTGCACACACAAATTGTGTTGTAATAATAAGTTGTGTCTCTGATTTTACAGCCTAATCATTTTATTGCAGTGTCTCGTATTATGCTCTAACTGCGGGAGAGTTTTGGTAATTAACAGAAAGCACTGGTACAGAGATTTGTATCATTAAGGGAAAGAGAGTCAAGAACTTGGTTAGCAACAATTTCTTCAATTGACTGACAGCCCTTGGAAGGGAGCATGAAAGAATCATAATTATGTTTATGATACAAATGCTAAGTCAAAGTAGCAATGATATGATCTATGTTGTAGCAAATAAGGTATAACAAAATCTTCACAGTATAAGTAAAATGTTCTAAAAAGAAGAAATATTCAACCTGTTAATATACATTGGTGAATGTATACAGATAAAAATGGCTTATCACTGTACAATCTATCAACATGACAGTCCACATTCTATACATGTTAACTCATGATATTTAACATTTGCTACAAAAAGTACAACAAATACTAGGAATCAACTTTAACATTTCTGATGTCTAAAAGAATGAAGTGACTTCTGTTCTATGTTAAAAAATACATGTTCCCTGCTTCCTTTTAATATAATTTATAAAGCTTTACTAAATGAAATATTTTGTTCTACAGAAACATCTATTGACTTATGTGAAAATAAAGTCCCATATCTTTAAAATCTATACTTATATATCGAGAGTATTTACACTGCATATATTACTTAAAATGAAAATATTTATGCATAAATAGTTTTCCCCATTCAAAGTATGAAGATAGAGATGCATTATTATAATTATTTGTACATCCTTACATCACAATTGAAAATATATTTATGTGAAGTTTGACAAGTTAGGAAGAACAGGGGCATGCTAATCGAGAGTTAATACTAAATCATAACACCAGCATGGTTAAGAGGGGCTACAAGAATGACCTGCAAGCAGCACAGGTTAATACTTTTTAGGAATTCCTATGAGTAACAGTGCTAACCAGTAGCAAGTAAGATACACATTACAGAGTACTAATAAACTACAGCAATGTGTAGTAGGTACTTAAATAGAATACTGGAAAGAATGTAGCCTAATTTTTAATTGTGCTTTAGATGGGCGAAAGCTAAAATGATATACTAAAAACGATCAACTACAACCTCACTCTCTTGTGCTTTAGAAATGTCCTTTTTGCATTTCTCTTGAAGTATCTTGCTTCTTCTCCAAATGGGTTTGCTGAGTCTAAGACAAGATTTAAAAGTGTGTACAAATTCAGCAACTAAAAATTGGGATCTTCTGCTACTAATGCTATTTCCAGTCACTGATTAGGTCAGTTACATGATCCTATATGATATATTTTCCTTTAGAAGATAGGAACAAAGGGCGTTTTAGAGGTCAAGGCATGATGGGAGAGGTCTAAGAGCCAGTCTTAGATAATTAAGGTATTTCTGAGATAGTGATTTTGTTCTGTTTTGCTCCAATATGATGATTGTTATTAAGTCAAACCCTGTAACAATGTCTAAAATTCTGGAAGTAATACATAGGACTCAAAAGATTAAATAGAAATGCAGTGGTGTCACCTAAAATACCTTTTAAAATAGTTCAGTTTATAGAATTGTTAGTTATATTTCACACCAGCAACTGAATTAAGTCATGCAACAATCAGAAAAAAAAATACATATACTTAAAATAAGTTAAATAATAATATTCATATACAATAATATTGCTTCCGTGATTCACTTTCAATTCACTTTAGAAAAAAAGTACATAAAATTAACAAAACTTCCAAAATTCCAAATCAGTTTAAATAATTCTCAGTTTTTGTTTAATAAATACCTTAATGTCAAAAAATCTATACTTAAAAATGCTTGGAAAGGGGCCCGGTGTGGTGGCTCATGCCTGTAAAGTGCTGGCACTTTCGGAGGCCAAGGCAGGTGGATCACCTGAGGTCAGGAGTTCAAGACCAGCCTAGACAACAAGGTGAAACCCCATCTCTACTAAAAATATAAAAAAAAAAAAAATTAGCTGGGCATGGTGGTGTGCACATGTAGTTCCAGCTACTTGGGAGGCTGAGGCAGGAGAATCGCTTGAACCTGCGATGCAGAGGCTGCTGTAAGCTGAGATTGTACTCCAGCCTGGCTGATAGAGTGAGACTTGGTCTNAAAAAAAAAAAAAGTTGGTAGTATTTACTGATAAATAGTAATATTTATTCCACATGGTTGGAAAAAAAAATGCATTGCGTAGTATCCTGTAAAGCAGATCACTCCTTTAAATGTTGGGGACAAAGTTAAAAGCAAACACAATTGAAAAGCAACTTTTCATTTTTATACTAACTTACAAAGTCCTCACATAAAAATGTATAGCTTTAATCAACCCTCTTTGCCACTTTTGTGTCTTCCTCTAATGAGTTGCTAACTTTCACCCAACAGTTCAGTGTCCTTCTGCCAATCATAAGAAGGGACTAAAACCACCATATACGGTTACATCAAGTCTGCCAATAATACGGTAAATAGTATGACCAAAGTAATCACGTGGTTGCATGTGGCCACCAAAATAACTGACATTTTTTGATTTGTTTAAGGATTTGTGTTTGCCCTACACAGGCTGAAACTGTAACAATTCCAATATACAATGAGTTCATTTTATATTAAATCTGTAATTAATGCAGAGCAGTTCAACTTACAGGTGGTATTTCAATACCACTTTATGCTACATTGTTTGATTTAAAACCCTGGTTTATCATTTAACTAAAACACAGGAATGATTTGCTCAGACAAATCACATCTGCTGAAGCTATCTTGTTTGCTTCTTGGACTGACATACTGAAAATCACAGGAATATTATAGGAAACATACCTACAAAATTCAAAAAACATTTTTTTTAAATTATCAATTGCCTGTAAAACTAACCCATCACAATCTGAAAACAATTTAAAAAAGAAATGAGGTTGCTTATGAAGGCTATAGCTTTGGTGACAACTTAGAACCCAACTTTAGATCTGCAGTTGATTCAGACCTAAACAGTGTTCATGCTTGACGTTCCCATTTATTTGCAGGGTTTTATGGCTACAGCATATTCTTCACTCATTGCACACATGACAGACACCTGGAAGCAAAAAGGCGGGCAAAAAGTTATTCAGAAGACAATACATATAGAAGATTTAACTAGTTCATCATATATTGTATATTTGTGTATATTTTGTACATACAGACCTTTGAAAGGGGTACTCCAAAACAAGCTACTTTCTTTACAGTTTTCTAAAGTAGAATTTCTTAAATAGTGGTAAGACAACTTGCAAGGAACAAAGAATAAGAACTATAAATGTTTCAATATTTACTACATGTTACATTTCTGAAAGTTGTAACAAAACACAGAGTTAATCTCCTTCACTCTTTAACAATCCAGTAGCATCATTTCTTACCCTTAAGAATAGCTCAGGGCTGGGTGCCTTGGCTCATGCCTATAATCCCAGCACTTCTGGAAGGCCAAGATGGGCAGATCACCTGAGGTCAGGAGGAGTTTGAGACCAGCTTGGCCAACAGGTTGAAATTCAGTCTCTACTAAAAATATAAAAATTAGCCGAATGTGGTGGCACACGGCTGTAATCCCAGCTATTCAGGAGGCTGAGGGGAGAATCACTCGAACCTGGGAAGTGAAGGTTGCAGTGAGCTGAGATCATGCCACTGCATTCCAGCCTAGGTGATGGAGGGAGACTCCCTCTCAAAAAAAAAAAAAAAGCTCAGGTGCAGAGCTTCGAAACAAAGTTGGGTTTGAGAATGTTTATGCAGCAAAAATGAACTTTGATACTTTCTTTGGTAATGAGTCTCTGAGGGTTTTACAGAAAACCTGCCTTAGAGATCGTTTTCAACATTTTAGCAATATTTTTAAACCACATTCCATATGTAGAATTTTGTGTTAACTAGTTGAGGCCAAAGTTTTTATAAAATGGTTTTCAAAAATAATCTTTCTCTAAGTCTTTACCTGTACATCTTCACCTGCATTGTATTTTCCTTCTATTTCTTTGCCTAGTTCACCTTCTGGCAGTTTAAGATCCTCACGAACTTCGCCAGTTTCTGTCAGCAGGGAAAGGTAACCATCTTGAATGCATATCAGCTGTTAGAAGAAATTATATCATTTGTGTTGATTAGATTACATCCACTTCTTTGTAATGTTTACATAGTTAAATTGTAATTTAATTTGTATAAGTACACAGCAATACATTAATATTCTTGGTATTTTAAAATGCTAAAAATACAGAAGATATAAAATACGTACAGAATGGAAGTATAAGTTTACTCCACCCAATACTTTCCATCCCCAATCTCTGCGTTATTAAACAGTTTAGGCGTCTTTACAGTGTATTCCATTTATGTTCACAAAATAAGTATAGTAGATTTTTAAAAATAAAGAAATTGGGATATTATAAGCATTCTACAGTGAACCATTTTGACTTAATAATATGTCTTAGAAATACTTTCTAACCAGAAAATATAGACCTAACTTAGTTGATTTAACTACCACATATCTGCATGGACATACTATAACTGATTTAACCAATTTCACATTACTGGGCATAAAAGTTATTTTTGTTATTACAAACAATGCATTGTTTAATTTGATTATGAGCAAAATTAAGTGGAAAATTTTGGTCTTCAGCTCACCGCCAACAACAGCAACAACAAAATCCACTAGCATATTGATAACATTAGTGAAAAAAAAAAAAAAAAAACCAGTCATCAACCCAACTTGCAAAAAAAACCCGGTTTTGATATCATTGAACTTCTTATTTACTACAGGAATGAGGAAACAACCAGCCTCCACTCACTCATTATATTAATAAAAGCATGTTCACCATTAGTATGCCTGGAATCCTAACACATTTTATAAAAGGCTATCATCGAGAATACCAGCTGCTAACATCTACAAAAGGAGTCAAAGACAATGGTTCTTCAACCCCTGTAACCACTATGATATAAACCAGGCATATCATTAGGATTGCTCTCCTCTACATACACCACCTGTCAAAACTGACTATGGCTCTCCACAGAAACTCCATCTACCACAGGAAATGTGAGTTTTTCTATGTCTAAAAATCTCAGAAATAAGATCCTACAGTGCTATAACAGGACTTTTAACTAACCTCTTAGTCCCTCAAATATTTGTGAGGTGGGTGGTAGAGAAGTGGGAGTAAGGAGGTTGAGGTAGAAGTGTAATATTTTTTTTAATTATTTTTTTAAAGATGGGGGTTCTCAATATATTGCCTAGGCTGGCCTCGAACTCCTGGGGTCAAGTGAGCCATTGCTTTAGCCTTCCGAGGAGCTGGGACTATAGGTGTGTACCAATGCACCTAACTTGAAGTGTAATTTTTAAACAACCACAAGATTCCAAGGCAAATCTTTCTGATTTCTGTTCTTTTAGTAATTCCCCAAAGCAGAGCTTGTCTATTTCTAGAGTCAAATGTTCCTACTGTGTCATTAGTGACTGAAAAACGGAAGCCAAATAATAATACTGATATTTTGAAAATTATGCATGTAATGGATTATTTTTTAAGAGTTAAGAATCATAAACTGTGGAATGAAATATACAAAGCATTTCAAATGTAAAATGTATAAAAATCATATAAAACATAGTAAAACAATGCATTTACAAACATTAAACATTTTATCAAAGTAAATTGCTATGTTAAATACAATTAGAGTTTTTAAAAATAAAACTAAGCTACGGAAAAACAAAAATAATGAGAACAAATTATTTAATCCTTTATATGGTTTGGCTCTGTGTCCCCACCCAAATCTCATCTTGAACTGTAATCCCCACATGTAGAAGGAGGGACCTGGTAGGAGGTGACTGGAGCATGGAGGCAGTCTCCCCCATGCTGTTCTCATCATAATGAGTGAGTTCTCTTCAAAGTGTTTAGCAGTTCCTCCTTCACTTGCTCTATCTCCCACTACTATGTAAGATGTGCCTTGCTTCCCCTTTGCCTTCTGCTACGGTTGCTCAGGCCTCCCCAGCCATGTGGAACTGCGACTCAAATCTCTTTTCTTTATAAATTACCCAGTCTCAGGTAGTTCTTTATAGCAGTGTGAAAATGGACTAATATGGAAAATAGGTGCCAGGAGTCTGGGGCACTGCTATAAAGATGTCTGAAATATGGAAGTGACTTTGGAACTGGGTAATGGGCAGAGACTGGCACAGTTTAGAGGGCTCAGAAGAAAGAAAGATGAGGGAGAGTTTGAAGCTTACCAGAAACTTGTTGAATGGATTTGACCAAAATACTGGCAGTAATATGGACAGTGAAGTCCAGGCTGAGGTGGTCTCAGATGGAGATGAGGAACTTATTGGGAACTGAAGCAAAGATCACTCTTGCCATGCTTTAGCAAAGAGACTGGCAGCATTTTGCCCTGCCCTAGAGATCTGTGGAACTCTGAACTTGAGAGAAATGATTTGCGTATCTGGTAGAAGAAATTTCTAAACAGCAAAGCATTCAAGAGATGAGTTGGCTTTTTTTTTGAAAGCGTAGTAAGGTCATATGCATTCACAAAGAGATGATCTGAAATTGGAGCTTATGTTTAAAAGAGAAGCAGAGCATAAAAGTTTGAAAAATGTGCAGCCTGACCATGTAGCCGAAAAGAAAAACCTATTTTCTGGGAAGAAATTCCAGCCAGCTGCAGAAATTTGCATAAGTAATAAGGAGCCGAATATTAATAGCCAAGACAATGGAGAAAATGTCTCCAGGGCGTTCCAGAGATCTTCATGGCAGCCACTCCCAACAAAGGCCCACGGGCCTAGGAGGGAAAATTGGTTTGTGCGCCAGGCCCAGGGCCCTGCTGTTCTGTATAGTTTTGGGACTTGGTGCTCTGTGTCCCAGCCACTCCAGCTCCAGCTGTGGCTAAAAGGGGCCAAAGTATAGCTTGGGCTGTTGCTTCAGAGGGTGTAAGCCATAATCCTTCATGGCTTCCACGTGGTGTTGGGCCTGCAGGTGCATAGAAGGCAAGAGCTGAGGTTTGGGAGCCTCTGCCTAGATTTCAGAGGATGTACGAAACACCTGGAGGTCCAGGCAGAAGTCTGCTGCAGGGGCAGAGCCCTCATGGAGAACCTCTGCTAGGGTAGTGTGGAAGGGAAATGTGGGGTTAGAGCCCCCTCAGAGAGTCCCCCGCTGGAACACTGCCTAGTGGAGCTGTGAGAAGGGGGCCACCATTCTCCAGATGCCAGAATGGTGCACCGTGCACCTGGAAAAGCCACAGGCACTCAACACCACCCAGTGAAAGCAGGGGCTATACCCTGCAGAGGCATAGGGCTGGCATTGCCCAAGGCCTTGGGAGCCTACCTTTTGGATCAGTGTGCCATGGATGTAAGTCATGGAGTCAAAGGAGATTATTTTGGAACTTTAAGACTGAATGACTGCCCAGCCAGGTTTTGGACTTGTATGGGACCTGTAACTCCTTTGTTTTGGCCAATTTCTCCCATTTAAAATGATAGCATTTACCTAATGCCTGTACCCTCATTGTATCTAGGAATTAAATATTTGTTTTTGATTTTACAGGCTCACAGGCAGAAGGGACTTCCCCTGTTTCAGATGAGACTTTGGACTTGGGCTTTTGGGTTAATGCTAGAATAAGTTAGGACTTTGGGGGACTGTTGAGAAGGGATGATTGTCTTTTAAAATGCGAGAACATGAGATTTGGAAGGGGTCAGAGACAGAATAATATGGTTTGGCTCTTTGTTCTCACCCAAATATCTTCTTGAATTATAATCTCCACATGTCAAGGGAGGGTCCTGGTGTGTGGTGATTAGATCATGGGGTGGATACCCCCATGCTGTTCTCATGACAACGAGTGAGTTCTCATGAGATCTGATGGTTTAAAAGTGTTTGACAGTTACCCCCAGCTTGCTGTCACTCCTGCTGCCATGTAAAACGTGCTTTGCTTCCCTTTCACCTTCCCCCATGATTTTAAGTTTCCTGAGGCCTCCCCAGCCATGTGGAATTGTGAGTCAATTAAATCTCTTTTCTTGCCAGGTGCAGTGGCTCACACCAGTAATCCCAGCACTTTGGGAGGCCAAGGTGGGTGGATCACCTGAGGTTGGGAATTTGAGAGCAGCCTGACCAACATGGTGAAACTCCATCTGTAATAAAAATACAAAATTAGCTGGGCGTGGTGGTGCATGCCTGTAATCCCAGCTACTTGGGAGGATGAGGCAGGAGAATCGCTTGAACCCAGGAGGCAGAGGTTACGGTGAGCCGAGATCATGCCACTGCACTCCAGGGTGGCTAACAACAGTAAAACTCTGTCTCAAAAAAAAAAAAATCTCTTTTCTTTATAAGTTACCCAGTTTCAGGTAGTTCTTTATAGCAATGTGAAATCTTTTAAATTGAATTATTTATTTAAAAATCTTAAGTTCTATAGAAAAGTTGCAATAATGCAATGACATCCCATATCTTTTACCTACATACATCCATTAACATTTAATCACATGCACTTTTTTCTCTATATGTACATCCAATATATATAATATCTATCATGTACATTCTTATTTTTACAGAACCAATGAGAGTAAGCTCCAAAGATCATGACTCTTCAGCAATAAATGCTTCAGTGTGACAATCATGACTTTTTAGCAGTTAAAACTTCAGTGTGTTTTTCTCAAGAACAAGGATATATTCTTAGGTAACAATTTATTTTTCAAAATCAGGAAATATTGATAACCTATTATTCAATATATAGCCCATATTTAAATTTGCAAATTGTCCTAATATTGTCCTTGATAGCAACTTATTTCCCTAACTCCAGGATCATACCTTGTATTTATTTGGCTATCATGTCAGTTTAGTCTCTTAATTCTAACAGTTCCCCCACCCTTTATGTTTCATGGCATTGACTTTTTTTTTGGGAGGGGTTATTTTTTTTTTTGAAACCAGGTCTTGCTCTGTCAGCCAGGCAGGAGTGTGGTGGTGTGATCGTGACTCACCACAGTCTCAACCTCCAGGGCTCAAGTGATCTACCCACCTCAGCCTCCCAGGTCACTGGGACCACAGCATACAAACACTATGCCTGTTGTTGCTGTTCTTTTTTTAATTTTTATTTTTTAGATACAGGGTCTTCTTGTGTTGCCCA